AGAAGGATATATGCAGTGTATTATTTGTTGAAACTGTACTTCCAATTTGATTTGAAACTGTCTCATTGCTGTTTATCAATAAAACTTTGAAAAAAAAGAAAAAAAAACACACAATTTCTGACACTGCCAGTGAAGCGGAAGACCCAATACTATTATGGACTACTGGACTCTTTTGGAATATTTCTGCTGAGTTCACACACCTATAATATTTAAATGATGGAACGAAACAAAAAAAGAGGATACAGATGAATAACCATTTTGTATGTGTGTATTCAAAATGGTTAGGATAGATATATAGCTACATTCTCTTTAATTCAATGAATGAGGGATTTGTTCTAATAGTGTTTGTAAATAGGATATCATGTCTGCATCTTGTACAACAAATAATCACTAGGAAGACAGTATGCAATGTGTTAATTATTAGAACTGTCCTACCAATTTGATTTGAAACTGTCTCACTGCTATTTATTTCTCAATAAAATTATGGAAAAAAAAGAGAAAGAAAATGGAAAGCTGCTGTACATAATTTAGCTTTCAGAGCAGGGGGAACCAGGGCGTTGAGAGGTCAGTGGATTTGTACAGAGTACACATGAGCACTTTCTAGCAATGCTACAAATATAACTGTCTGATCAGGACAGGATCAAGGCTAAAGATGACTTCTCTGGGAAACCATAAAGAATGGCAGGGACTCTGGAGAAATGATGTGATGATGACAAGAAAACAGGTGTTAAAAAAAAAATTAAACAGAACATGAAGTCAGTAACAAAGAGGAAGTTTGCACCTGGGAGTAATGACCTCCTCATATTTGAACTACAGACAGACATACACATAGAAAGTATGATTCCTGGATTCCAACAAATCCCAAGTTTCTAAAAGAAGCCCAAGTTAGTAAGTGGATAGCAAAGAATCTCAGTCTTAAAGTACGACTGAAGGGGCAGGACACATAGCTCAGAGCTAAAGTGGTTGCTGTGTTGCGAGGTTCAAGTCCCAGCACCACCAAAACACAAAACAACAAAAGACTATAAAATAGGACTGACCACAAATCAACCACGTAATTTATTTCAAGTTTATCAATCTAGTGCTAAATTCAAATAAATAAAAAGAATTAACAAAATCTATACCTACCTTCCACCCTTCCCTTCTACCACCAAAAGACAAAAGGGTGTGAAAAACACGGAATTGGAACACACATCAAGACCAGCCTTGTACTTAGGGAGCTGTGTTCAAAACCTCACAGTTTCAATAAACAGATTAAGCCAGTCTTACATCAGGGGTGGTACAGTACACCCATAAGCCCTGAAATCAGAAGGCTGAGTCAGGAAGATTGCTGTGAGTTCAAGGCCAGCCTTAACTACACAGTGGAACCCTGTCTCACAAAACAAAACTAAACTAAACTAAACTAAACTAAAAAGCATCTTAGATAATATATCTGATGAAGATTAAAAAACAGACAAAAAAAAAAAAACAGCTGTGGAAACAAATACCTGTAATCACAGCACTCTGGGAGGCTGAACCCAGCCTGGGCAACCTGACCCCACATTTAAAAGAACAAAGGGTGAGTATATAGCTCCGCACAAAGGCCCTGGACTCAATCACCAGGACTGCAATATTTATTTATAGATGTCATTGTTTTTAAAGTTTGAAATCTCATGGCTCCCATGCAACAGTTCATTTTTGTACATCAAAATGAGAGTGGAGGGGAACAGAAAACAGTAGTAGTTTTTGTGCTTTAGTTACTCGAGAGGGCCGGGAAGATAGCTCAGCAGCATAAGCACCTGCCTGGCAAGAGCAAGGTCCTGATTTTGATCCCAGTACCAAAAAGAAAGAAGTTACCCAGAGAGGCAAAAAGGGGTGGGGACTTGGGACTCCAGCAATCAGAACTGAGACCACGAAGAATGAACAGCAAGAAGGCAAGAGAGCAGAGAGAGAAACAAAAGAATTGTGCCGGAGACCGGTGCTGCTATCACAATTGTTCCTAATGTGGTCAAAAGACATCTGGCCTCATTTGAGAAACAGCAATATTCCTAAAGGAAACAGGGAAAGGGGAAACGTAACATTTGAAGGGGTGGGAAGCTAAGCAAATTAAGCAATAATCCTAAAATGTAGGTCAGTTAAACTTTGTTCCCTTTATTTTCTTCACCTAATAATTATTTTAAAATGGCCCCTAAATTCTCAATTGGATAATTATAATCTTTAAATAAGAAATTTTAATACATTTACTGAATAAAGATTAAAAAAAAGTATGTATCTAGAAATAAGGCAGCATTCATGCCAGTTGTGGTGCAGAACACCTGTAATCCCAGCACTTGGGAGGTTGAGACGGGAGGATCACCGTAAGTTTGAGCCCAGCCTGGGCTACTACATAAGTGAGGTTAAGGCCAGCCTAC